CAGGACCACATATGGCAATGAGTACGAGGTGACCGCTCATACTTTCTTGGACACCCACAGAGCTGAAAAGTCCAACAACCACTGGATCCTTTGCACCGCTGACCCGGATGCAGAAGGCCTCCTGCTTCTCAATCGCCTGAAATCAGAGGGCAACTGCGTATCGTTGCCGCGGGAAAACCCAGACGATCCAACAGAGTATATCAGATGTAGTGTGTGTAATTATAGGGAAGACAGGTAATCGAGGTGTTGAAAAAAACAAGAGTGCTCTATGTTTGAATGATTACACCCCACCCCCTACCGTTCCCCCAAACTTTGCATTCCTACAACGTGAATGTATGTTGCTGTCAGAATTTGATGTGTTTTGTTTGTCAAACACAGGGTGGTCATCTCTTGTGATTTCTAAACAAAATATTGAAAATGTGACATGGAAGCCCTTGGTGAGGCATTTTTTTTCACACTCCGAAAAACACATCCTTTATTCTATTCTTTGTACCTTTAGTGATAGAATGGCTTGCCACTAGGGTTTAAAGGTACGTGGGTACCGTTGTCACTTGCTTGAGAGAAAACAGATTCCTGTCATCCCTTCCCACATATGTTAGGTGACTTATTTTTTTCCCTCAACTGAACTTTATAGAGCACTTTAAAGCAACCACTGCTGCATACTAAGTGCTGTACACCAATCCCCGGCACCGGTTCATATGTCATTTGGCACCGGGGCCGCACAGAAAGACTAAATAACTGACATTACTTGCGTTTTATTTATTTCGAACTCTTAAATCCATCTACAGTATCTCATCCTTGACGCAGGTCAAGGTGCGCTTTCAGTCACGTGATAGGTTACCGCTAAAAATGAAACTAAATTTAATCGACAGTGTCGCGTATTAAAAGATTCCCACGCACCAAACACACTCCGCAGCGATGGTTAGTCGTATTTTTCATGCACTTTGTATTTGCTCGTATCTTATTTTGAAGGCACGTTTAAACGTTACCATAACAACCAGAGAGTGTTGAGGCCAGATTGGACGTTCCTCGTGTCATGATTCGTGTTTATCATGTTTTGAAAATACCACCGTTTTCATGCAGGTCATATCTTATTTTGTTGCATTTATCCGTCACACCTTAAAGGCCGGTCCCTGAAAATATTGTCTCACATTAAGCCGTTCCGTGGGGCAAAAAAAGTTGGGGACCGCTGCTGTACACGCAGTATAAATTACGGTACTCGTATGATAACAAAATCAGTTAAAATAATAAATTACGAACAAAAAACCGTTCACACCATAAAACAACAAAAATGACGAGTCGCATGCTGAGTCGAAAGCAATACAATTCAAATTGTGATTTAAGATGAGTTAAAAATGGACAGTGAGGGGGCGGTGATTGCACAACATTTGGCAGGTTTTTGCCAACGAGGCTTGATTCCCTCGGAGCATCCGTTTTGTCCTGAGTACCTCCGGTAGTGTCTGGTCCAAATTACCTGAGGCACCGAGCCGGGGCACAAGGATGGACGAGTCTAGAGAGGTAAGGTGGGGTGAGACCATTTCAAGACATCAAATGCAAATGCAATCAAAGACTTCACTTCCACCTACTTTGTTCAACTAGTGAGAGGTTTTTGCACCTAAAAGGGTCGGTCTCATTGCCATGTGGTTGGCCCTCATTCGGTGTAGCAGCAGGGCGGCTCATGTACGAACCCAATTCCAATGAAGTTGGGACATTCTGTTCAACAAATAAGAGCAATGATTTACAATTCATGCCCAGCCTGTATTTTTAATTGTCAACACTAAAAAGATAAATTATTTCATGTTCAAACTGACAAACCTACATGCTGACAGCAAATAATCATTAACTTGGAATTTTATGGCTGTAACCGAGCAATTCCAGGAAGCTCCTTTTAAAACCAATCATGGCACCCGCCCATTCCCAGTTAGCCCTGTTCACCTGTGGAATGTTCCAAATAGGTGTTTGATGAGCGTTCCAGTTGGCCAGCCCCGATTTAGACAAAATATTCATTTGAAAGAAATGCCTTTTTTCTCTTCACATGTCCACTTAACTTGAAAATGACAAAATTTGAGTTATCTCACCGTACTTCTCAGTGGCTCAATTGCCCATATGCTGGTCATTTGTCCATATGTGCTCAGTGATTGACTTGTGACTCATTAAGTTGGACCCTGCCTTTTACCCAAAACCAGCAGAGATAGACTCCAGCTCTTCCGCTCATGGACTAACGAGCCCATAATTGAAGTTGAACAGGAACTCAGCCATTTTGGTTCAAGGCAGCCATTTTGTTTCCATTATGCCGCATACTGCCTGTCCTGTGTGCCGCCTGGTTCCTGCTCTGAGTAACATTTGCTTGGCTGTCAAAATGCACTGGTCACAATGCATATTCTTTTCCTCAACAAATATGAAAATATGATATTTAATTTCTAGAAAGTGTGTGTGTGTGTGGGGGGGTCTGTCGAAATAGCTGTAAAATAACATGTGAATTAAATTGTTGTTTTGCTTTACTGTTGTATGTTAGTTGCTCCATGTACAGCACTTTGTGTGCAGCAATGGCTGGTTGAAAGTGCTCTAGAAATAACATTTGAGTTGAGTTGAGACTGAATTAATTGTACAAGCACTATTTCTGAAGTTACTGTTTCTGTGTTGCATGACTTTGTTACTTTGTGGGGTGTTCATGTTTGGAGCTTGGCTTCACATTGGCGTTGTCAGGAAGCAGGATTGGAGCATTGATGAAATTCTGTGTTGGAATAGGAGTTCAAAGAAAATGTAAAGTACTGTAATGAAAGTTGTTGTACAACTAAATATTAGTTCACGCATTTTGGAGTTTGTACAACAAATGTTATGCAAAGTGTTACATGTATCAGTAGCTGTTAAGCTGTTAAGAGTTGAAAACTAAAATTACTGCTTGGAAAATCAAAATGAACAGTCTGACCACGATATCCATCCATCTATCCATTTTCGAATCCGCTTATCCTCATGAGGGTCCCGGGTGTTCTGGAGCCTATCACAGCTGTCTTTGGGCAGTAGGCGGGGAACACCCAGAACTGGCGGCGCGGACACCTGCAGCGGCTCCTCTTGTTTTATGTTGTCTTGAGAGGGAAGACATTTCATCTGTGCTGTATGTGTAACATGCCCAGTGATTGACTTGTATGTTACACATACATCTGTGCTGTATGTGTAACATACAGACAGATGTCAATAAAGTTGACTTGACTTGACTTGGTTGCCAGCCATTGCACAGCACACATACGCCAACAACCATCCGTGCTCATAATCAGACCTTGGGACAATTTTAAGTGTTCAATCAGCCTGCCCTGCATGATTTTGGAATGTGGGAGGAAACCGGAGTACCCAGAGAAAACCCACGCAGGCATGGGGAGAACATGTAAACGCCACACAGGAAGGCCTGGAATCGAATCCTGCACATTTGCACAGTGAGGCGGATGTGGTAAACGATTGACCACCGTGACGCCCAAGGTCGAGCCATTTAAAACATTTTTATTGGCATACCCGCCCTGTTTTTTTTCTTGAGGAAAAACTGTTCATTTAAATGTTTGTACATATGTCGATTAACATATGGTGTAAAAAGTTACTAATCAACAGAATGAGTATGACTGAGTCCAGTGTCCCATGGTGTAGGAGGTAAATGGGTGTGCAGGAAGCCCCAGCTCTTCAAAACTGGCAAACGTGGTGAGTTAACATGTGTTTTATATACATTACTATATATACATATATATATATACTTATAAGAATTTAGTAAGCAGTAAATTGTGTAAGTAGTTGGACAACCGATTGTGCTTATTCCCGAATAACCCTTCAGTGTAAAAAATGAGGTCTTTTCTCAAGAAAAAAAATTGTCTTGTTCAGGAGAAAAAAACGTGATAACCTCTCTGGAAATTGTTCTTTCTATCGCTCACGTTGAGCAAACACCTCATTTTTTAGAGAGAGAGAGAGAGTGTGGAGACCCACGGCCACCATATTTAAACACATACTAATATTGAAATGGCATTATTTATGATGAAATAACCACATTTTATCAGAAAATTTGAAAAACAAAATAATGAACTCCATCAATTTTAGAGAACAGCCACATGAATACAACAAATATAAGATAACTTTTGAGAAGCCTATTCTGTCCAGATCTGAGCTAAATCCTGTACAGTAGTCACTGTGAACCCACTTGTATTTGCAGACATTTTCGGCAGTGTCATTGGTCTGTAAGCATGGCAGTGCATGTGGCTGGACTCGTGGCTGTGGTTGCCTTTTATGGTGTCATCCTGCTCACTGGGATCTTTGCGGCGCGAAAGTCAAAGAAATTGGAAAAGAAATGTACTGGGAGAAAAAGCGAAGTTGCCATTGTCGGTGGCCGCAACATCAACATTGTGGTTGGTGTATTCACAATGACAGGTAGGATTTTTTGTTTCAAGGATTTTAATTTCATGTTGATTTAAACACTGTCTATTATTTCTTATCTTTGTTGCCTTCCAGCAACATGGGTTGGTGGAGGTTACCTTATGGGCACGGCTGAGGCTGTTTACTTGCCAACTCGTGGTCTTGTCTGGGCTTCTGGACCTTTTGCATATCTTGTGAATTTTATTTTAGGTGAGTATCGGAAATGTACAGCGCCCCTATGGTGCCATGGGAGGAAAAAAATGGTCAATGTTACACTGTGGAAAACAGTTATCAGTGCATCTGGAAAGTATTGTCAGCACTTCACTTTTTCTCCATTTTGTCATGTCACAGCATTATTCCCAAATCGATTGAATTTAATATTCCTCAAAGTTCTACACACAACATCAAATATTGACAATGTGGAAATTTGGGGGTATTTCCGGACAAAAAAACTCAACACCTGTGTTTTTTTTGTCTTTGAAGGAGGAATTTTCTTTGCAAAACCAATGAGGTCTAAACGCTACGTGACCATGTTGGACCCATTTCAGCATCGCTACGGCCGGTTGTTCACCACGGCAATATTAATTCCTTCTTTGCTCAGTGATATTTTTTGGGTTGCCTGCATCCTTGCTGGTCTCGGTTAGTCATTGAATTTTATTGCTTTTGTATTTTTTGGTGTCCCAATTTGAATGAAAGTTTTTCTAAATGCTATTTTTCATGTTTTATTGCATATAATATTCAGGGGCAACAATGAGCATCATCCTTGATCTATCACCTGTAGTCTCCATCCTGATCTCTGCAGCTGTCTCCATTATTTACACTGTTCTAGGAGGCCTGTACGCAGTTGCGTACACTGATGTCATCCAACTGTCCTTCATATTTGTCAGTCTGGTGAGTTCTCAAGAAAATTGTCCAAATGTCGTGTGTGCTCGCGCAGTTGTTCCATCTGAGAGTGTCAATGCCGTCTTGGCTGTAATTTATTTTTTTTTTTACTAAACAAGTGTTTTGTTTTTGTTTTAGTGGCTCTGTATCCCATTCATGTTTCTCAGCCCCGCGGTGACTGACCTTTCACAAACAATCCATCTCAACGAGTCAAACGTCGACTCTTGGATAGGAGAGGTGAAGCTTGAAGATGCAGGAAAATGGACTGATGACTTTCTCATGATGGTCAGATATTTTACTTTGTCTTGTGTTGTTATCCAGCAATTCATGGTCAGTTGATGAAAGAATCCAGATAATTCCAAAGGGTTCCCTTACTTTTGCTGACAACTTTAGTCATTGTTTATCGACGTTACATGTTGAAGTGATGTGACTTCGATGCTTTCTGCTCTGTTGTAGGCTTTGGGTGGACTTTCATCCCAATCCTTCCACCAGAGGATCCTCGCGGCGGCCTCCTCATCCAAGGCTCAGGTGTCCTGCTTTGCTGCTGCACTTTTTTCTTTTATTATGGGAATCCCATCGGTGATCATTGGAGCTGCAGCTGCTTCAGCAGGTACGGAATATGCGCTCCGCCACAAAGAGTTCAACAGGCTACACGACAATTAACACAAGCAAAGGTCCAATTGTCTGAAAAGATTGTGATTCTTAGCTCACTTGTAAATTTGTGTTATATCTGTTAATATTACCTCCCTCGCTTGGAAAATGGTCTGTAACACAGATGGTAAATGTCATAGCTGCTCAATATTGCAATATGCAAATTCATTTTATTATTTTTCTTGTATTTGCTTTTGGGCGGGCTGTTCCAGTCCCCGCCCCCCGTGATTAGCTGGGATGCTCTCAATGTACGGCCTTTGAAGGAAAAAAACTTGGAAGGATAGTGCTGAGTAGGCAGTAATTTGTGAAACTAGAAGAGTACGAGTCAGTGTTTATGATGTAAAACATGGTGTCCTCCTGGGGTCAATGATGGGACCCATACTTTTTCATCTGGACATAAAACAAGTCAATGATCTGAATCATTGAAATGTCTTTTCGTCGATGACTGAAACATATTGGGCTTCAGTGAAAAATTTCATCCAACTTTTGTCATTAATCACTTACAGAAATGATTGAAAAGGTTTAATAAGCTGGAATTAAATTTGAAAAAAACAAAACTCCACAGGAACAAAATCCAAAAAGGTGAATTTGTGGAGAATGACCCACGACTCGTGTCACCCGACTGTCAATGGGATATCAGCCCACAACAGAGTTGTTCAAGAAACGTGTAACAAGTTCTAATGTCATTTCAATTATTCTGTATGCCTCCTCCTCTCTAAGACTGGAACCAGACAGAATACGGTCTACCCCCACCTTATGAGCGTGGAGAGGCTGGGAATGTCCTGCCATTGGCTCTGTCCTACATCACACCTAACTGGGTGTCCGTTTTGGGCATTGGCTCCGTAGCAGCAGCAGTGATGTCATCCATGGACTCTGCATTACTGTCATCGGCGTCCATGTTCACGCAAAACATATACAAGGCAACTTTGAGAAAGCAGGTGTGTGTTTATGTCGATGAGTGGTTTTGTGCTTCAGCAGAACAATTTCATCATGTTTGTTAACCCACAGGCATCAGACAGAGAGCTGCAGTGGGTCACCAGGATTTGTGTGTTGTTGGTGGGCCTGGCTGGAACCGGTTTGGCCTTTAACAAGAGCAGCATGCTTGCACTCATGCTGCTCACGACAGACTTACTCTACTGCATTGTGACCCCACAATTGGTCTGTGTGGTGCACCTCCGATCTGCCAATTGCTATGGCGCCATCAGTGGCTACACGGTCGCTTTGCTGCTGCGTGTGCTGAGCGGTGAGCCAGCGCTCGGAATCCCTCCTGTGATACTCTACCCGGGCTGGAGGGAAGAGGATGGCGTCATCACGCAGTACTTTGCCTTCAGGACTCTGATTGCGTTCATCTCTCTGGCGGTTGTCGTTCTTGTGTCTTGCCTGGTCGAGCTGGGCTTCAATCACAATGTTATTCCTCAGTCCTGGGATGTGTTGGATGTTTTCAAAAAGAAAATTGAGGCAGAAGAGGATGAGAAACCAACACCACTTTCTCATGAGGGAAAGAACATTGTCCTTAATACAGCATTGTAGCTTCATAGTATCTGCCTAAACTTCGTTGTATGCTAAAATTGCAGATATCTGCATGCAATTTTTGAATAATACATGTTTAAAACATTGTACATGTGCAAGTGAACATCTGGCTCCGTAAGTCTACGTCACAGACTGCATGCATCACTATTGTCAACAACAAAGATGCAAAGTGAATTCAGAGATTTGTTTGTAAAAAATACATTTGGTTGAAGAGAATTGCAAAAAAGACTCAGGCAGAACTATGTCTTACTGAACCGTAACGGGAAAGCATTAAACTCTTGTAAACTTGCATGGCAATAAATACACAAAAATTCATTGTCGGATAACCTTCTCCAGACCTTCGGTGTTACTCGGGCATGGAACATTCTCAAAATGTTAGTTTAGGTTCTAACTAATGTTTGGAGAAACAAAAACAAATGTTATTTCAATGTTTGAATCTATCAGAAAGAAGTCAATGCGGGTGTGTACTTTGCATTATGAACATGTGAGTGAAAAGAGTTGTCCACTTCTGCTGTGTGGGGAAAAAAAACATAAATCACACAAATCAGATAGGTTGGAGTTACTCAGGTAAGCTTTTAATCAGTAATCGAATCGAATGAAGCCTGTTTCGTAGAGGAATTATCCAAGTACAGTTTAGACCAGCTCCTAAAATTAAATTAGTTTGTGAGATTTATGAGGGAGAACACCATCCTAAAGAAGACCGGATGGTTCAAGTTCGGACCATAAATATCAATTCAGATTTTCGGCAGAGTCTCCCCTGACGAAATTGTGGCCATGCAAGAAGTCAGTTTCGTGGTAAAACAATGTAAGATGAGGGGGACTTCGGATGGGTCATTACTTTAAATAAAGGTTTGAACTTTGTGTCTCGCCTGCCTGAGTCAATTATCTATCCACCAATCCATTTTCAACACTGCTGTCATGATTCGGTTTGGG